CATGTGCTACAGTTTCTTTGTTTGTCATTTTGTATATGACACCAAACAGCAAACCTATACCAACGTATACCAAGATACGAGTAATCAAATACCCACCTTGGCTCCTTAATAAGTTGTTATGGATTAATAATTATGTAATAAAGTTTCTCCCAAACTTCAAAAAACCCAAGGTTTGGATAATGAACAGTACTGAATCATCTAAATTCATTTGCTGAAGAGTTGTAATATGCAATAAGTCAAACCGTTTGCTAAAAACAAAGGATAAATTCAGTCATAGGAAGTAATACATACTATTTTCAGTAAGTTTCTCTATGGAAAAGGTTATTAATATCTCAGGAACATTCCTAAAACAGAATTTTGAACAAATTTTAATTATATATCTCTGAGATGGAAGATCACTCAGAAGATTGTAGAACTCCCTTAATCTTTTCTAGTTTGTTTTTCGCTTGTTCAAGAAGTCGTGTTTTATTCATTTTATTTTTCTATCTTACTTATTCTTTCTTTACGTTCAATGCCTTGTATCTATTCACTTTATCAATTTATTTTAGCAAATATGCATTAATTTTCTTCAATGAACATTTGTTCCTCTTTTTGCTTGATTGAAGCTCACCAAGGTACCATACAGATGTATTTTTCTTTATTTTTTTAAATTATTAAGTATAATTTAGGTGGGCGGTTTGTTTAGGGTTGATCACCCTAAATTGGTGTTACTCCTCCCCCCCTTCATGGGGTACATAAAAGACCAGTGAAGTTGGTAACATTGCAGCGACGGTGGCGCTGTATGCACAAAATTTAGTAGTAGTAGGAGAAAAATGGGCGACTGAAGCCACACGAGAAGAAGACGAATACTCTAGCCTCTTCAAGATTACTTTCTTGCTGTTCTACCATGGGAAGAGGCATCGAGTAGAACACCGAGACCCACCGGACACATGGAGGTGAGAAGTGTAGCAGCCGGCCGACCACCGATACCGACCACCGTACCAGCCACATCAAGTAAACAATTGTAGAACCATTATACGCCAAACCCCCATCTTTATATACTGTTTAAATATAATTATAATCAATTTCATACAGTCCACTTGTTCTTTCAAATACCCAATAATATGTACCATATCATAATAAAAATGACGGTACATCCCATTTCATACACTTTCGTAATTTACAATCACATCTTCGCCTGCAAAAATTTCAATTTTTGGGCCCTAGCTCCAGTCAATATGTCAACCATTCGTAAAGTGATCAACATTAATATAGATTTAAGCAAAGACCGATATAACGGTCTTGTGAGCTTATTTTATAGAGATAAATAGTATTTGAAAAACATTATTAATTTTTCTTTTTTCTGGTCCTCAGCTTACTCTGCTATGAGCAGATTCCGATATTCCAATGAACAATATGTTGGCCTCACGACCTTATTTTGTCAAAATTAATAGAGTATATTTCTTTTTTTTTTTTTGTCCACCACTATCAAATTTTTCTGTCATCCTTTTGAACCGATATATATCAGCCTTACGAACTTATATTATCGAGATTTTAAGAATTTCACTTTGAATATTATTTTTATTGCTAATAAATGCGTCAGTCAATCGTCAATGGATCAAAATAAACATAAATATGAGCAAAGACCGATATATCAGCCTTATAACCTTATTTTAATGAGATAGGTAGAGATAGGAAAATTTTTATTTAATTTTTTTTCTTGCCCTCCCCTTCTCCTAATTTGAGCTATACCAATATTCCAAAGATCAATATATCGGTCTTACGACCTTATTTTATAGAGATTCTAAGAATTTCACTTTGAATATTATTTTTATTGCTAATAAATGCACAAATCAACCGTAAATGAGTCTGCAATAAACATAAATTTGAGTAATGAACGATATATTGGCCTTATGACCTTATTTAATCGAGATTCTAAGAATTTCACTTTGAATATTATTTTTATTGCTAATAAATGTGCAAATCAATCGTCAGTCAACGCGTCTGCATAAACATAAAATTGAGTAAAGACTGATATATCAGCCTTATGACCTTATCTAATCGAGATTATTAGAGTTAGATCATAAAAAAAATAAAAAATTGTCGAATATTATTTTTATTGCTAATAAATGCGTCAAGAAATCATTATTGAATCAATATAAACTTAAATATGAGCAAAGAACAATATATCGGCCTTATAACCTTATTTTATTAAGATTGGTAGTGTTAGATAAATTTTTTTTTTTAATGTATTTTTTTGGTCCGTCTTTTCCATAAATTTGAGCAGATACCGATATTCCAAAGACCAATATATTGGCCTCCAAACCATATTATATCAAAATTAGTTCAGTTTGATTTCTTCTTTTTTATTTATTTTTTTGTACACCACTACCACATTTTTCTCAAACCAATAGATCATTGGGACAAAAAACTTTTTAAAGAAGACGAGTACCAAATTTTAAAAAAATTATCGAATTCTATTAATCTTAATAAAATTAAATCTTAAGGCGGATATATCGGTCTTTATTCACATTTATGTTTATATAGATTCCATGGTGATTGATTGGCCAATTTATTATTAGCATAAATAATGTTCCACGAGTAACTATATTAATTATGATAATATAAAGTCAAAAGGCCGGTATATTGGTCTATGGCATGGACCGAAAAATATTTGGTAGAAGACAAGCACAAAATAAAAATTATGAAACTCTACAAATCTCGATAAAATTAAATCTTAAGGCCGACATATCGGTCTTTACTCACATTTATCTTTATATCAATTCCATGGCGATTGATTGGCCAAATTATTATTAGTATAAATAATATTAAATTTGAAACTCTATGAATTATGATAAAACAAAGTCAAAAGGCCGATATATTGGTCCACGGGTTGGATCGACAAATATTTGGAAGAAGACAAGCACAAAATAAAAAAAAAAACTCATTTGATAATTTTTATCTTTTTTAAAATAAAGTCTTAAGGCTAACGTGTAAGCTCTTAACTGCTGTTGCCTGGCTACCTGATATATGAGAGAATTTTACACAAATAGTTACGAGTTCGTGTCCTGGTGCAAGAGGAGACTTTTAACTCTGGCATTAACGGCATTAATTCCATGTGATAATCTAAAATCATGGTAAAATTAGATCGTAAAGCCGATATATAGGTGTTTAGAATATCAGTATTAGCTCAAATTTTGGGGAGAGGAGGATAAAAAAAAAAAAATAATATAAAGAAATATTTAAAAAATGGTCTAACTGTACTAATCTCAATAAAATGAAGTCATCACGCCGATATGCTGAAATATAGATTTATCTATCTTTCATTAGTAGAAATTTGTGTATAGGCAGATGCGTAGATGGTCTATTTATTCTTATATTTAGCAATAAGTAGGATATTCCATGAGAAACTGCAAAAATCTTGACAAAAAAGTGAAAAAAAGGCCGATATACCGGCCAAAATTTTGATATCGGTCAATCCCTAGTAAACACAATATTTCAGAAGTAAAATAATAACCAAAATTGCACTTCCTATAAGTTAAAATTATTAATTAGCCAGTTCTTACAAGTGTTTTAATTTGTAGGCTTCTCCTAATTAAGAGGGTAATTGTCTAACCACCCACAGGGTTAAATATAAATTGTGTTAAGGTTATTGAGTTTAAGATTTTTTAAGGCATTATAATTATCTTCAAAAGTATTCAGAAAGCTTCTACAGTTTGAAGAATTATCAACAAAAAATGGTTTAAACCGTATAATTTTGTTATGATGGTATGCAGCAATGATCGTTTTATTACTATAACACTTTACTAATTTATCAATTAATTTTTATTTATTTAAGGATTAAATTTTATCTTTCAGATCTTCTTATCTGCTCCCACCACTTGCCGCAACGAAAGAATCGGGAACTATCTTTGCGCAAACAACTCTATTCAATCCTGTCCCACTAGATCTTGTACTTCCGACCTCTATGCCCCTCACCAAACAGCGTTTGATGATTCCTTTGCAATTCGAGCAGTCTCCCTCTGGAACTCCATCATATAAACAATTTTATTCAAACTTATTTATATGTATTTGATTGTTGAAATATTTTTCATATATTTATTACTGTTAAGTGTGAGCATGTTTTTTATTTTCTATTTCATGTTGTTGATTTTCATATATTTATTAACTTATTCCTTATGCATGTTTAATTTATTGTTACACATATTTATTTAGTTGTATACATTTTATTACATGATTTAGTTGTATAACATGATGCCTTGGCTCGTCTGTTGCTGGACTCTGGCAGCCAGTACACATTTGTCACAGCTCAGCTTGCTAGGCTATTCACAATTGCTGCCAAATGGGTTATTTACAATTGTCCCCGAAGGGCATTTTTTTAAGGGCATTTGAATATTTGAATTTTCCACCAATTAATATACATTAGAATAAGTGTAGTGGGAAACCCAAACCTTACCATTAGTATATAGCCAGTCTTCGGCCAGTCAACTTGTCCTTTCCCATCCAGACTTCAATCAATCACTTGTGAGCAAGCAGCAAACAAGAGAGTTTCTCAGATAGTCTCCTATTATATTATTACAGTGAGCATGCTATCAACCCATATTTAAGTGTAACATCAACAAGAGTCTTGATGGTGATACATAAATGTATCATCAACCGGCATACTGTAGAAAAAAGGACTACCATAGCTAATAACCATGTATATTATTTTATTTATTTACAAATGTTGATAAATTGTAATCAAATCATTAATTGATCACAAATCCTTCTCAGAGCTCAAACTGCCAAGTCCTCAGCCATCAGATAAGAAGTAATGTTTTCATTTGATTAATGTATAAATAAACTTCTCTTTTTTATATTTATCATAATCATTTCAAATAAATTAACATAACTAATTTTTTTATTTTTAAAGTACAATAATAATTGGGATTATTGCATAGGTCACATATTAATTTGATTTCAGAAAACAAGATAAGATATTACACATTATGTTTCTAAATATACCTAAATCTAAAACTAACCTCAGAAATAGGAAGATCAGGATGAAGATAAAATATTTCATTAGAGGATGGGTGAACAATACGCAAACTGTATGATGCTTGAAACTCTCGTAGAGCAGGGTCTAACCGGTTTAGCACAGTAGAGATTAGTTCCTGAAATCAATCATTAAATGGTTAATATGATTCTAAACAACATAACTATTAAAATCATTACTAAAATATTCAAGTGAAACAGAACAATCCAATTTAAAGAAATCTTTCAATACAATCTTAAATTTATGGTAAATCAGCTAGCAATAAGCTAGGAATATATACTGCACAAAAATGAATAGAGATATTTCTATTTGTTACTTATTTTATTCGTTTTAATTAAAATATCCTAATTTTGACTTTCACTTATGTATATATATGTAATATATAGTAAGGGTAAGTATTGCAATCATGAAAATTTTTGAATCTGAGTTTTCAACGGAAATTCATGTTTTGAGGTCCCCTGAGTTCAAATAACCAAGTGTCACAAAATGGTCTGTGTGTGTGTTAACAGTCTAGCTCATAAACGAAAAGTAGTACGAAACTGATATTAAGTATTTAAGGTTTGTATAAGGGCCGGATGTGACAGCAACTTTTTCGTTAAAATCGGCTAACCGGAAGTGCCACTTTATATGAATGCTGAAACACATTTTTACAATTTTCTCAAAAATGGCTCAATCGATTTTGATTGAACTCAGTTTATCATTGTATAATTAAGTGGTCTTTAATATCATTTAGGTCTTATCCCCGTTGATGTCAGTTTACAGGGCTTAAATGCCCAATGTTCACATGCGTCTTCCTCTAAAGTACCTTTAATATGGTTTATTTTAAATAATTAACTATCTCTCATTATTAAGAGTTACAAAAAATTGCTAAACATAACTTTTGAAAGAATTTTATAATAATAAGGAGAATATAATAAGAATGCTTATCCAGATCGAAAATGAATCTCCAGAAATACTAGTCAGTAGGTATACGTATAATATATCGTTGGGAAGCGGAGAGATTTAGAAAAAACAATATCTAATATAGAAAGTTGTAGAAGGTAACGGAGAGTGGACAAAAAATTATAAACAATAATTTTTGAAAACTAATAATATTTAACATAAATCACATGTTTTCAAGGAAATTAAATGAAATTTACCAATTAAATGTAACCTTATAAAATATTTTTAAGTTTGAAAAAAATATTTATAATCCACCTAATCAAGGATATGCCATTGTTTAAAAAAACTATTTCATTGTACTTGCGTGAAATAAGAAATAAAATATAAAATCATTTCATGGATGTATAAAGCATATGTTTATAACCTTAAATACATTTACTGTAGTTTAATAATTCTAGATCTGATATTATATTTAAATAATTAGGTATCGACGTCCGTTTATTCCGAAATATTGTCACGTAACTTTTTAGAAAATTAAATTAGTGAATAATTTGATGAATCTTCCCTTTGTGATATTCCAACAGTACCCACTACTATTTCATTGTATTTGTGTGAAAGAAGAAGCAAAATATAGAAATATTTCATAGATACGTTTATAACCTTAGATATATTTACTGTAGTTTAATAACTGTAGATCTGATATTATATTTAAATATTTATGTATCTATAGTCCATTTATTCCGAAAAATCATCATGTAACCTTTTAGAAAATTAAATTAGTGAATAGTTTGATGAAATTTCCTTTTGTAATATTCCAACAGTATCCACATACGATTAGTGACAACTTTTGACCTGTCTATGACAGACAATGCAAATTTCTTAATTCTGTTTTAGTAAACTTTGCTATGGAATAACAGTTTAATAACTAATAGTCGTACAATCCATAATCAACCAATGATATAATAAATAAAACTTTTGTTATTTTAATGGTGTTTATGAGTTGTTAGCTGTAATTTTTTAGCTTTAGCTCAGTTAAAAATGTAATTCAAAAGAGTAATATAATTCAAATGAGAGATAGTTAATTATTTAAAATAAACCATATTAAAGGTACTTTAGAGGAAGATGCATGTGAACATTGGGCATTTAAGCCCTGTAAACTGACAACAGGGATAAGACCTAAATTTTATAATAGCCCAACATGGCCAGAAAATAATTTCTATTCAAAGTTGAGCAGTAAGTGAAAGTTGTGTGTTGCGCACACCAGATTTTTTTGTTAGGGATTCTCTTATGTGTTGGTAAACATAAAAAGTAAAGAACAAGTATTCTTTATTTTTATTAAATTATTAACTGAAAGATAGTTAACATGAAGAATACTCATTTTATAAACCAACATTTTTTTTTTTTTCTGTTCTTCCCTACCTCACCTTTTAGGCTATACGGGATTTTCCCGGACCAGAGGGTGAGGGCGGGGAATTTAAATCCCCTCTGGCACCGGGACACGAACTCGTGACTATTTTCATGTCATAGAATCATATATCCGGTTGCCGGGCAACGGCGGTGCAGTGCACAAGCCTTAGCCCATTCCGCCATCCCGCCCAACTTTACAAGACACTATAACACCATAACCTCAATCATCTTCCCTGACACCTAGGCGAAAAAGGAGGCAAATCTCAACAAACAGACAGGAATAATTTAAGGATTTATTTCAGACAGGATCTGAAAATCCAATCTCGTAATACTTGTCTTCCTTGTTTAAACAAACAACCTAATCCCAGCCTAGGAAAATAAAAAAAATAATATTTCCCAGCCTAATAAAAAATTATATATATATATATATATATATATATATATATATATATATATATATAAATAGAGATTTCGCCCATGAGTCCTACTTATTGGCCAACATCCCGATATCCTAGATATATTTTTAACTTCTCAGATCTCCTCCTCACAAACCATAATCAAATCCCTTGATGACCTTTCTCCAGACCATAGTCCAGTTCTACTTTCACTACATTCAAGCTATGCTCCGAAACCATCATCCCCTAAATTGATTACAGGACGAGTAAACTGGGACAAATTTAGTGATGACTTGGAAAACAAACTAGGCTTCAAAATTCTGCTAAAGACAAAAGAAGACATTAATGGTGCCATAGAAAAACTTACAACATCAATAACAGACAGTATAAACAGTAACACCTTTAACAGTAGGATTAACAATTTACAAAAGACTAACTTGCCACAGCACATTCGTATCTTATTAAAGGAAAAACGCAGAGCAAGATCGAAGTGGCATAGAACTAGATATCCAACAGATAAAACTCATTACACCCAACTGACTAACAAACTAAAAGCTGAAATTAGAAAATACAAAGTACAAAATTTACTTAACATGACAGAAAAACTTACTACTTCTGACAAATCACTGTGGTTGACCACTAAAAAGCTCCTTAAATTCAAAGACTTTAATCATCCACTTCTTACTGAAGCTCAAACTTGGTCCAAATCTGATGAAGAAAAATCCCAAATTTTTGCTCATCACCTCTTCAAAACTTTTAATCCACATCCTGATATCCTTAATCCAAATCAGCTTGAATGTATTGAAACAGAACTGGATATTCCACTCCAAATGACTCCTCCTCCTAAAGCATTTCATCCTTCAGAAATATCTAATATTTTTTCACAGATTACCCTCCTGCAAAGCTCCTGGTCACGACCTATTCTTAAACTTCTCATATTCTTAAACTACTTCCTCGAAAAGCCATTCTATTCCTTACTTACATTTATAATGCTGTACTCCGTTCCACATATTTTCCTGACCCTTGGAAATTATCTGTAGTCAAAATGATACATAAACCCAAAAAGCCACCAGAATACCCATCCTCTTACCGTCCTATCTCTCTTTTACCCATCACGGGCAAAATCCTGGAAAAACTCATCTTAAACGCCTGTATCCCATCCTAGACTCTAAACACATTATCCCAGATCACCAATTTGGATTCCGCACATCCCACTCCACTATTCAGCAATGCCATTGTGTGGTAGATGTAGTCTCCTCTGCATTGGAGCATGGAATGTACTGCACAGGAGTCTTTCTCGACGTTGAACAGGCGTTTGATAGAGTCACGCATCCGGGACTGATGTACAAACTCCGTAAATTCCTTCCCTCTATATATTTTCTTATCATCAGTTCCTATCTTACTGATAGACACTTCAAAGTAAATCACAATAATACCTATTCATCCCTCTTTTCTCAATCTGCCGGAGTTCCTCAAGGTAGTATCCTTGGTCCTATCCTTTACACAGTTTATACATACAGCTGATATCCCAACCCATCCTAACACTGTCATCACTACGTATGCTGATGACACATGGTATCCTGTCAGTAAATAATGATCCAACAATTGCATCCCAAACTCTTTAATCACACATCACAAACCTTGAAGAATGGTGTCAAAACTGGAGGATTAAAATAAATCTCATCAAATCACCTTTACCCTTCGTCGTAAACCAATGACTTGCTGCCCTATAGTATCCTTTAATAACACCCCACTTATCCCTGTAGAACAAATCCGATACCTTGGACACCAGCTGGACAAACGTCTCACTTGGAATCCTCATACAAGACTGAAACGACAAGAAATTGCTCGACGTTTCCGCTTACTCCAACACTTACTAGACAAATGCTCCCCATTAATTACAAACGACTCAAATACATGACTATACTATAATAAGACCTATTTGGACTTATGGAGTTGAACTGTGACGCTCCACTAAACCATCAAATTCCTCTCGTATCCAATCTTTACAATCCAAAATCCTTCGTAAAATCCTCAATGCTCCTTACTTTGCCACAAATAAAATAATCCATAAAGACCTAAATGTTCCATGTTTCCGATTAGGCCAAATCCAGATACCTATCCTTCCATAACAAACTGCAGAACCATCCGAATTCTCTCGTTTCAAACCTTGCTTCCTCCTCGATCCCTGATAATCCTCCGAGGCGTCTGAAAAGAAGATGGCCTCGGGACCTTCTAATATAGAACTTTAATTTGAGTTCTAGCAATGGATAGTTTCTCTTCATGTTGTACATGTTCATGTTACCAATGTCACATTTACTTATTGTATTTTCCATGTAATACAGTTGTAAATTTCAATAAAATAAAAAAATGTTTCCAGTAGTGGGAGTACAGTTAATAGATTGCCTTAATAGAAGAATGAACAACAATGGTCTGTTTGTTTGTTTATAAGATATTGTTGGGAGTGCTTGATCATGCTGACTTGCAGTTTTAAAAATTTGTTTTTGAAAATCATCTAATTACCTAGAACTTGACAAAATAAGAATGAGTAATAATATATCACAAAATTATATTTTCAATAAAATTGTTTGAAAGATATAAAAAAATCTAATGTTAGAAGTGGCATATATTTTCTTAATTAACAAGTTGAAATATGATAAGTTTTCATATACCGTCCTCTTCAAATCAGTGAATTATATTTGTTTATAAATATAAAACATCTGAGAGATTCATTAATTCATTAAACACTTTTTTCAAGTTACTTAATGGGCTTAATTAAAAAAATAAATTATCTGATGCGCATAATTTTTTAAAAATTACCCTTATCATGATAACACGTAAAATATTACCCAGTGGGGGAAACTACTCCTTCCTTAGAATTTGATGAAAGTCTGATCAAATGATCAAAACAAATGATGATAATTAGGGATGTGATGGTACTGGTGGAGCAGTGACGTGTAACAGAGTCTCGGTTTGGAACAGTGACAACCTGTTCCACACCCTTGGAACTTATCGGTTCAGTGACAGTGACAAAAGTCTTCTTATCCATTTCCTCATTTAATTTATGAATATATTAATATGTTATATATTATATTTATTAACCAACAGTCTTGTCCATTATTTAATTAATAAGTAGTAGATTTATTGCAAAAAAGATATTTCGTTACTTTTAATAATTAATCTCTTTATGGAATCAGAAAATTGTAAGCTTGTTGTAACTGTGTTCGAAATATATAAACGGAGTTGTGTCATTTTCATGCATTTACAATGATTTTATATCGAAAAGTAAAGTCAAAATTCACAAAAAATATATTTGAAAATTGACCTAGATTAAAAATATACTTCGTATATTTACAATAAACCACCGATATATATATAAGTATACATAAATCATATTTGTGAATATTAAAATAATAATGTGATTTGCTTTGTTGAATATCAATATCCACAGAAAATATATATTATTAACAGTCAAGAAACTAGTATTTCTAATTTTAATTAAAATTTTATATGTTTGATTATTATTTATTCATTTTCATAATCGATTCATTCCATTGAAATATTTTTTTAAACAATTTGATACTTGGCAATAGAGAAAAACCCTTTTACTCAGGCCACTGCGACTCAGACACACTGGCTGTTCCGTACCTGTCACTGTCACTGTCACTGTTGGGCCTTATTGGTACTCCATTGTTCCACCGTTCCGCTGTCACAGTTGGACCTTATCAGTACTAGGCTGCTCCATCGTTCCACTGTCACAGTTGGGCCTTATCGGTACTCCACTGCTCCAATATATTTTTATTTATTGTATAAATATTAAAATTGCTTACATATTTTTCAAGAGAAATATTTATATATTGATCAGTTTTACAATAAAAATCGAAAATTGGCATAAAAGGTAAATAAATTAGATTTCATGAATTCATAAATTGATGAATTTATTAATTAATTTATAAAATTAAAAATACTAGTTTCTTGGCTGTTAATAATATATATTTTCTTTGGATATTGAGATTCAACAAAACAAATCACATTGTTGTCTTAATAATCACAAATATGATTTATGTATACTTATATATATTGGCGGTTTATTGTAAATATATGAAGAGTATTTTTGATATAGGTTAATTTTCAAATATGCTTTTTGTGAACTTTTACTTTATTTTTTTATATAAAATCACGGCAAATACATGGAAATGACACAAATCCGTATATATATATATATATTGAATACAGTTACAAGATCACAATTTTCTGATTCCACAAAGTGATTAATTATTTAAAATAATGAAATGTCTTTTTTTTTGCGATAAACCTACTACATATTAATTAATTAATGGACAAGAGGACTGTTGGTTAATAAATATAATATATAACATATTAATATATCCATTAATTAAATAAGGTTATGGAAAAGAAGACTTTTGTCACTGTCACTGTAACTGAACCGGTAATTTGTCACTGTTCCAATTGTGTCACTGGAACAGTGACAGATTTTTCCTGAACCGTCACATCCCTAATGATGTACAAAACCGAACAAGGAAAAATATATAATATACAGAATGACAATGTCTTTTTTATTTCAACCTACCATTAGAACATCAAGCCTTAATTCAAGAATCATATCAAAGAGCTATTTGAGAATTCAATCAACTATAAACATTACATTACTTTACCCTGACATCATTGATTTCTGTACGAATAACAGTTTGGTATATCCCTCCAGGGATATTGATTTTCAATGAAGACACCAATCCACTACGGGTTGCAGATGTAGAGCGCTCCATGACACCTGCAGATGGCTCAGTCTCTTCTGCATTATCTCTAGGAAACCAAAAATACATTTATAAACATATATTTATTATTATGACAAAAAATTTAATGATATTAATTTATTTTATCACTAATTTAATACTGATTAAGGGGTAAAAGAACTACAGTGTATGTAATGCCAAAAGAAAAAATACATAAGTTTTTCTACTCAATATTTCACTTTTTATTAAAAATACTATATATAAAAACTATAGTAAGAACTTGTATCTAAAAGGCTTAAATTTATAAAGCTTCCTTTAAATCAAACAGTGCCTTTTGCTGGTTCAAATATCCTTTGTTTCAAATCAGTAATAGCATTTAGTCATTCCAGGTCAGCCTCTTACAAGACACTGACCCTCTCCTGTGGTATCCTTCAGGATTTTTTTCTCAAGGTCGCTATTTATATTAATGATCTCTTCTTCCTGATCCATCACTCAATGCCACATCTATGCCAACTACACTCAATTATATCTGAGACGAGGTTGTGATGGCTGAAGGTGTTAAAGCATATTCTTCAACATTCTCGAGTCTAATGACACCGCAAATCCGGCCTAAAAAGAGGGAGAGGTTGAAATTTATTTTGTGGCGGATCCATGGAATGAATCTCAACCTTTCCACTCTGGTTAGAATAGGCTAGTAGAAACTCAAAAAGACTATCTGTTACACCAATGGTTCAAGGAGACTAGTCTAACAAGAGTAAGAGTCTATAGAGAGGACTTAAATATAGAATTAAACATTTTGTAAGGAAAATATTCCACTCTATTTCTGGGAAAAGTACTTTCCATATTGGTAATAAGATAATTGATCATAATTCTAATTTAAGAAATTTGTCAGGGGTGTAGTCAATAGACATACTATATATTAAAGTAGTGTTTTATTACATTAGCCAATGCTTCAACCTACATTGTACATTGTACTCAGTCTCATAACTTCTTTCAGCTAGATAAATTGCCCAAATGAAGACCTATGACATATGTCGAAACATTGGTAAATGTAATAAAACACTACTATGATAGATAGCTTTAAGGAAAGCTGATAGCGGGATAAAAAAAAAGAAGCTCTTCAATGGAATCCCCAAGGAACAAGAAGAGGAAGTCCAAGAGAAACATGACAGAGATTTGTGCAAAATGACCTGAATCAGGCTGGCAAGACTTATTGCTACAAAAATAAAGGAATGGAACACACTTTTTTTTTTTTTTTTTTGGTCCACCCCTTCCTCACCTTTTATGCTATATGGGGCTTTTCCCAGGCCAGGAGATCAGAAAGGGGGGTTGATGCCAGAGTTAAAAGCCCCCTTCCCCCCCAGCACTGGAACACGAACTCATAATTATTTTATCACTAATTTTGGTTTATCTGGTTGCCGGGCAACGTGAATTTTATGCAAGTGTTAGCCCATTCGGCCATCCCACCCCTCAATGGTAAGCACCTGTAGATGTCCTATGCTCCATCAGGAGTCAATGGTTATAATAATAAGCATAATATATAGCATAATCAAATAATATATTGAACACAACCCCAACCAAATTCTCAGTTTATTCACATAAATTTAGCAATGACATTTCTGAAGTCACCTATTGTAAAATACTCTCAAACTGCTAACATCATGAAATACACTGACAGGCAAAAAATTCCACCCACTTGATTTTTTCATCTAAAAATATTTCTGCTTTGGATTGGTCATGGTATTTGTAGATAATACTTAATATTTATGGAATTTTATAATTTTTTTTAAAATTTAATAATCAAAATGTGATTGGGTAAGAAAGATTAGAGAAAAAAAAAATTGAAAAACGAACCACTATTATTCTAAAAGAAATTAATTACATCATCGTTTAGTAGCGCGTGTTTCCTCCTCTTGCCTTCACTACTTTTGAGCGTCTTCACTACTGAAGACGCCTCAGCATACTTTCCACCAGTCGGGAAATGTCCCTTTGCTGGAGGATAGCCCATTCCTCCCGAAGAGCCCTTTCAAGGTCCTGCAGTGTATCAGGAAGTGTTACACGCGCTGTTATTCGTCTTCCGAGGTTATCCCATAAATGCTCAATGGGGTTTAAATCTGGAGAACATGCTGGCCAGGCTAAAACCTCAATATTGTTCTGTTGAAGGAACGTCTGCACTATGCGGGCGACATTATCATTATCTTGCATTAGAATAGAACGATCGCCGATTTCGTTGAGGATAGGCAACACATGAGGTTCCAAAATCTCATCTACATAGCGAATGGCCGTCAAAGACCCTCCACGAACAACAACCAATTCTGTGCGGCGCTCCATTGAAATCCCAGCCCACACCATTAAGGGACCACGTTGGAAAGGTTGGCTCTGGGAAAAATTACAGGCTGCATATCTTTCGTTTCTTCTTCTCCACACCCTTTTACGCCCGTCTGGAGATCGAAGAGCGAATCTTGACTTATCTGTAAAAAGTACAGCACTCCATTCGTACATAGTCCAATGGCTGTGTTCTCGAGCAAAAGCCAGCCATGTTACTCTGTGAGTTCTGGTCAACTCTGGTCCTCTTACTGGACGAAAAGTCATTAATCCATACTCATTCAATCTTCTCCGAACGGTACGTTCAGAAATTTGCACACCTCGAACTTCTTCGAGCTGATGAATCGCTTGAACAACGGTAAGGTGCCGGTTTCGTAAAATTCTCGAAGTCGAAAACCGGTCATCCCGTGGTTCTGTTACCCTAGGCCGTCCAGAATCGGGCCTTCTATTGTAAGAACCAGTTTCCCGAAAACGCCTGACGGCGTCTCGAATAGTTTCATATGGAACTCCGATAGCATTAGCTGCATATCTAATGGAACGTCCATCATCAAACCATAAGTGCCACACCATGCGCAACATCCTCAGCACTAAGAGGCATTTTTAAACTTAATATTGAAAAAATTAAAAGCAGAAGACTAAGAAATGTGCTGCAAGAAACGGCACTGAACTAATGATACTGAATAAACATTTTGATTCCATAGAAAGTAAACATTGGAATCTAGAATCATTTCATTGAATTAAGGATTAAGGGTTATTGTCCTCTATATTAACATTCCTAATTTAAAACAAACAAAAATATTACCTATTTATTCATTAAAAACAATAGACCAATCCAAAGCAGAAATATTTTTAGATGAAAACATGAAAAAATCAAGTGGGTGGAATTTTTTGCCTGTCAGTGTATGTTAATCACAAAATTATGCGTTACCAAACACAAATAAGAAAACAGAGGACGTTAGGTTAGAACTAAAATAGCTAAGTGATCAAATGTTTCTTTTATAAAAATAAACATTTTAATTATATTTCACATGATTAATCATAAAATGTATAATTTTTTATTACATTAGGGGGACCGGAAAGTAATATTGTTTTTAAGCATGTCACTATTTGATTGTCATCTGGCAGCTCATTGTATAAATCTATTTCGTGGCAAAGACATTCTAAATTTATAGTGACTTCTTTAGTTGTAAATAATTAAATTTAAAGTTTCTTTTTTACAATTTTTTTACCAGACGAGGTACATAGCTGGAACTGCATGCTTTCTGAGTTTCGCAAGGGTAGTAAAGCAACAGTTGCTACCAAAAACATTTGCGATGTTTATCCAAATGCATTAGACATTCGTAAATGCCAAAGGTGATTTTTCAAGTTCAAATCCGGTAATCTTGATCTGACCGGCTCATATCATCAGGAAGACTAACAACGTTAGACAATGATGTACTAAGGACGAAAATGGAAGCAAATCCTTGTCACGCAATCAAGGAATTGTCAAACAGCCTTAACCAACCTTGGTCGACCATCCACTGATCCACCACATGCAATGGCACAAGGCACAAGAGCTTTTCGATAACTTGATAACCTAAGGTGAAAAATGGGTCCTGTATGGTAATCCATAACGCAAAAGGCAGCGGCTGTCTCCAAAAGAATAGCCACAAAGTACTGCAAAGCCAAGTTTGCACCCCAAAAAGGCCCTTTTATGTGTTTGGCGGAGTATTCCCGACATTGTTCAATTTGAAGTGCTGAAACCTGAACAAACTGTGAATGCAGACCTTCATAGTGACCAATTGGATCGTGCAAATCAATCTTCAATAGAAAAGTGGCCAGCGATTGTCAACGAAAACGGTGTTATTCTTCAACACGAAAATGTAAGATCACACTGCGTAAGACAAATCCTGGAACAAAGTAATGGATTGGGGTGGAAGGTATTATCCCACCCACCATACTTGTTTTTGCACAATCGGATTTCTATTTGTTCGGATCATTTCAATATCTTTTAAGTGGCAAAAGATTTGCAAATTCGAATGATGTCCAAAATACCATATCTATATGGTCTTCCTAGAACAACATTCCCTCATCAATCCATTCCAATCTGGCTTTCGACCGGGCTATTCAATGCAATCTGCCTTCCTTAAAATAACCCATGAACACCAAAACCTTACCATCCCCATCCTTCTAGATTTTTCCAAAGCGTTTGATACAGTTGACCATAACATCCTTCTTACCAAATTGTAAAATCTTCCTCTATCAAACAGTGTCTTGCGTTGGTTCAAATCCTTACTTTCCGATCGATCCCAATATGTAGTCGTCCCAGATCAACCTCCTTTTAAGACACTTCCCCTCTCCTGTGGTGTCCCTCAGGGTTCATCCTTATCCCCTACTCTGTTTGCTATTTACATTAATGACTTTCCCCTCCTGATCCATCACTCCCAATACCATATCTATGCTGATTTCCAAATATATCTGTCCTTCCCCCTTTCTGACCTATTAGCCGCCACAAAAAGCTTCAAGAAGATTTAAATAGAATATATGACTGGGCAGGAGCTAACAAGCTGAAGTTGAATGAGGAAAAGACCAAGGAAATCCTAATAGACTCCAATCACCTCCTCAAAACTGTTCCTACATGATAATCCCATTAAATTTTATCCCACCATCAAAAACCTTGGAATAATCTTTGATCAAACCCTTTCCTGGAAAAACCATGTATCCAATAT